CTAGCAGCTTCAAGTTTATTTAAGCTTTAGAGAAGTAATTGTTGTCATTTTTACAATCAAATAAAAATTCAATCGGCTAATGCATTATACTAATCATTTGGAGTACAAAACTTGGTATTCTAATACATTGTAAATATAATAACAATATACTATAATAGGTTAGTCAATTCAAGTAATCTCCTAGCGAATTTAATTAATAGTTTCACATAAAACAACATTTATAAGAATTTTAAACAATGTTAGAAGCATAAAACAATAAAAATGAGGTTTATGGAAATAATAAACGATATAAAGAAAAAATATATATAAAGATAGGTTGATTTTCCAACTCTTCCACAGAAAAAATCTTCATTGGTTATCATATGATTACCATTCATTTAATTTATCAATGAAAATCTCAAATTCACTAAATAAGCATAAACTAATTCATTAAAACTCTCCGTTATTCCATCGTCTACTATGAGACTCCATCCAGATATCACTTGTTCCATCGGTCACATTTTCACGACAAGATTTATCAAACGAATGACTAACGTTGATATTTCTAATTATTAACAATTGTTTAACATTAAAATAATTTTTTGTATTATGTTGTAATTAAAATATTTTATTCTAACAAGACAACTTAAATTCAATAAATTTAAATTATTTTATTTAAACAAAACATTTAAAATATAAAATAATTTAAAATGAGATGAATTTAAATTTAATGGATTTGAATGTATAAAAAAACATAAAGTTTTCTATCTAAATATAAAGTGAGAATTTCCATTTCAAACATAAATTGAAACACTTAATCACGTAGGGTTGAATCGAATTGGGCACACCTCGAGTTAAAACGAATTGGATGCACCTCACACCAAGTAGGATCCACTCAAGTCCAATCAAATCAACTCAAGTAAAGTTGGATCAATGTCGGGCCTAATTAGGTTAGACCCACCTCGCACTAAGTTAGGTCGGGCAATATCAGGCCGAGTAGTGTTAGGCCTACCTCAAACAGAGTCATATTAGGCCCACTTCAAGTAGAGTTGAGTTTGGCCTTAGGCCAAGTCAAGTTAGACCCACCTTGGCCTACCTTAGGTTGAACCAAATTAAGCCCACCTCAGATTGAATCGATTCAAGTCCACCTCATATAAAGTCGAGTTGATCCCACCTTTACCAAGTCATGTCATGCCCACTTGTGGCCAAGTCAAGTTGGTCCCATCTTCGATTGAGTCAAGTTGTGCCCACGTTCTGTAGAGATAAGTTGGGTTTTCCTCGAGCTGAGTCAAGTTGAGTCTAAATCAAGCCTCGACGAGTCCATCTTAACCCTAGTTGAGTCAACTCTATGTTAGATTAAGTAGATCCATGTTAGGTCGAGTAGAATTGGGTTAGGTCAGATCGAGTTGAGTTGAATCTAGTTAGACCTATATCAGATCGAATTGATTTAACTCCCCATAGGCTAAGTTGAGTTAGAGTCAAAACTTTGGTTAAGTCAAGTTGGACCCACTTCGAGTTGAGTTAAGTAAATTGATATCGAACAAAGTGGAGTTGAACCCATGTCAAGTCAATGCCAGGCCAAGTTTAGATCGTGTCATGTTAATTCATCCTAAGGCAAGGTCAACCAAGTTTAGAATCACTAATGAGTGCATATTTATGCCCCCATGTAAGCTTTAAGTTGATTTACATTAGCTTTTATTTTCTCCATCCTCTCATTCATGCCCTCCATCATTTTCTTCGTTTCAACATTTTGTTCAACCATCATCTTCATAAATTTTTCTATCATCAAATCATCATATGTAACATTTGGTAAAGGTTGTTGTCTCATTTGGGGTGGAACATAAGTTTATTTGTGTTGTTGATTTTGCTGTAATGACTATTGATTAACCCATATCAGAATTGGATTATTTCTCAAACTTGGATCATACCTATTGGAGTTATCTGAGATGTTTTATTTCCTTCAAGCATGTTAGCAGCAAACACTTGAGATGGTTTCTCCATATTAGTTTATGTTAAGTTTAAACATGCATCAATATAATTGTTTGTTGAAATACAAATTCCACACACCCTTGTAACTTATGGAGTTGAAGTCTTGAACAAGTTTAAAGGATCATCTATCTTCTTCTCTATTTGATGCCTTCCATTATATCAGTTCTCTAGCATCTTGTGGCAATTTGTCTAGGAAATATCCTCTACTTGCAACATATGCCCATTACTTGTCTAACGATTTCAAGCCTTCATAAAAGTATTGAATGAGGGCATGTTCTTGTGTTTAATGTTGAGGACAAGATGCACATAGTTTATTGAATCTTTCTCAATATTCACTAAGGGTTTCTCTATCTCATTACTTAATTCTAAGAATCTCTCTATGAATGGCAGCCACGCACGATGCAGGAAAATATTTCTTAAAGAAAAATATTTCCATAGTTTCCCTTGATGATTCTTGTTAAAAGGTAGTACCACCAATCTTGAGTTGTTCATTGAAAAGTAAAAGGGAAAGCTCTCATTTTTAGATTTTTTAATGCGATCCTAGGAGATCTAAAATTTTCACACAACATTTGGAGTTGTCTCAAGTAATTTATGTGGATTTTCCCCTGATAACCCATTGAATTTTGGCAAGGCATTTAGTAGGTCAGCTTTGAGCTCACACTCCTCATTTGGATACTCTATGTTGGCGTTTGTGATGGTATTGTTAGATGTGGCTAGTTGTCTGATGATTTTTTGAGCCATTATGTTTGGGTTTGGGTCAAGTGAAGGATCAAAATATATGTTTATGAATGGAGGGAATGAAGGTGTTATGGTTTCAGATGTCGAAGATGTTACCTCAATATAACACCCAAATTGCAATCTTTTGCAAGTTTACACAAGTTTTGTTGAACTTTTGGATCAATTTGATAAAAGTCACTCGAGTTGACTCGAGTCATGACTACGCAGTCCGCCTGAAAGTGTTCCTTTGTTTTTGACATGTTTTTTTGTCCTATTCCTACTTTAGAGAAAGATTTCGAGAAAGAAATAAGTTAAGATGTTGTTGGGTTCACTCCTAGGAAAGAAAGGTGTGTCACAACAAACAACTTAAAAACCAAGTCTTTCCTAGCTAGAGTATTCTCCAATTAATCTAAAAAATTTCTCAAAAAAAAATTATTAATCAAAACAAAATCAAAGACTTTGCTAGCAATTCAAAAATAACTAAAAACTAAAACATCACAAACTAAATTAAATGTATATGTGTTAAACACAAAAAAAAATAAAAATTAGAAAATAAATAAGAATCAAAATATTAAAAATACTAATCATACTCTCCGACAACGATGCCAAATTTAATATGTTGTCGTTGATGATACCAAATTATCACTACTTGACCAAGACAACTTTTGTATTAAGTTAGTGACAAACTAGATAACGTTAAGTTAACCCTCAGTCATATACCAACAAATACAAAATTGATTTTCAACAATTGATTCTTATAAAATCTTAAACAAAAAGTTAATAAAACACAATGCAAATAATAAAAAATAAAAGCAAAAATTTAAACTTAATGGAATTAGTAAATAATATTGATATGAAAAAATATAAGTGTAATTTGATAATAATAAATGAAATAACAAATTAATAAAATACTTTAAAATTATTTTAGTAAAATAGATTAATTCCACTATTTTTTTAAAATAAATTCATCATGAGTTATTTATATATTATTGTTCAATTGATTATTATTATTTTTTTCAAATTAATTAAAGTAAATTCTTAATTAACTTCTTGACATTCTCATTATCAATCAAAGTAGGTTCTCAATTAAAAACAAGAATTTTTTAGATTATTCATAATAAATTAAACAAAAGTACATTCTAAATTAAATTGTATTATGCTTTTGATCATGTCTATTCTTTTACCTCTTACCAAATAAATAGTTAATTAATCAAATTACATTCTTGATTAATTTTTGTTAAAGTTTTTAAGACTAATCAAAGTACTCAATTGGTAGCAAAATTTCATTCAATCACGTGAAAGTTCTTAACTTTAATCAAAGTATAATATCAATCAAAATTAAGAACCATTAGATTTGTATGATCAATATATGCATATAGATTAAAACACATTGCTAATTATGTATGATGTAAAAATCATTACTTTTTACATAATTTAGAGATAAAAGACATAGATAAATGAAAATTGAAACAATAATCAAAAGAAGAAAGACATTATTTTAATCCAAGATAAAAAAATGAATGTTTTGGTGAGGTGTAAAAAAAAGTGAGGATTGGAGTGGATGAGAGCTATATACTAAGGGGTGTGGGAGTAGATTTTGTGTGACTCATTAAAAAAGGAGAGTCTATAAGTAAATTATGTTGTACAACAAATTTTTCCATAATTTGCATTGTCTTATTTTGTAGCATGAAACAATTTATTTTCATATTTTCAATAAACCAAATTTAACTTTAATTGCATCAACAAACATTAAAATAACCAAAAAATAATTTATATGCAACTAAAAATAATTTTTTAAAACATTTTTATTTCACAAATTCAATAAGTCAAATTATCACAAATCCTATTTAAATCAGTATTTTAAACACAAAAATTTAATTAAAATTAAAATAAGAACATAAATATCCATTCACTACTTACTCCGATAAAGTCGAGTCGTGTTAAAAATATGAACCTTAATTTTTTCTAATAAGTTGCAAATAAAAATAAATATTAAGAACTAATTTATAATAATATAACATATTTGATGATGAATTTCCAATTTAAAATATTTAGAATTTAATTAAAATAGTGCAGAGTGGAGTTAAATCTACTTCAATCGAACCCAAGTGACTTTAAATGAAGACTTTGGAGACCAAAGCTTTTTCTATCCCTCATTTAGTAGACAAAAAAAACAAGAAAACTTATTTAGGAGTATATTAAAGTTTACTTATAGACCATGGATCAACTTAAAAGTTTTATTTACACAAGGCTTGAATCTTAAAAGTAGGAGTCAAACACCTGGTTGCTTCATTTTTTACTCTTTTTGCGTATTCATTTTCATTCATTAATTCCCGATGAACTTTTCAACTACTAAATGCTTTCTCATGTATAATGACAACAATTCAAATTTCACTACCCCTTTCTGTATCTATTCTGAGCATGTTTTTGAACCATTGCACAGAATCTTTTGGTATCCTAGTAAGATTGTTCTTGAAATCCACATAGTAAAGTCCAAACCGTACAGTGTATCCCATGTTCCACTCCCAATTGTCAAGCAATGACCATACAAAGTACCCTCGTACATTGCAATCATCTTCCCTGTATTGAATTCATATTATGTCAGAATAAGATGGCTAACAAAATAGTGTTACAAACCCTTGAGGACGAACTCAAAAGCTTCCAATAATTTACCATATAGCAGCAGATAGGTTTGAAAGATAGTCTCTATGGTATCTTATCCTCTTCTCATCTTTTAAGGCCTTCTGTAAGGTCATAAAGGGTTTGCTTGGGTCATCCATTCCTGCCATCACAAACTAATAGATATTAAAAATGTCATGATTATTGAGAATTGAGATTACTTTAGTTAGATTTCATAAAAATGTCTTGTCATATTTTAGAATATCTTGTTATTCTTCTCTAATATTATTTCGTGTTTTCTCTTTATCAATAAACAATAGAACTTATGTTAGAAAGTGATTTTAAGCGTAATTCAACCTCACAAAACTAGTTTATAAAGTGATTACATTACAGTTATATATTATAATTTGACCTTATTTATATTACACCCGGGAATTCTAACAACTACTTAAAATAAATATGGTTAAAATACCTACAATTTGAAAAATATGATCCAAAGTGTTTACTCACCATTCTCTGTTATAATTACTGGTGTGTCCCCATATTTGTCTTTCACATGTTTTACCAACTTTCTGATGCCCCATGGAACAATGTGCAACCAACTTGAAGCTGCCTGAAAAAAAAAAAGACTTTTTTGATTTGGCTTGAAGTGTACTGAGTAAATGTGCATTGTGGTCTTAGGCTGTATTTAGATTCATAGCAAGGAATAGAATGAAATCGAGTAAAGTAAAATAGAATAGACTTACAATTCCACTTGTTTGTATATTGTTCAGTGGTAAAGGGTGTTTTAAATCTTTTTCTATTATTATAGAGGTGCATGAAGCAATAACCTGAATTCAACTCTGGCATATTTTAGACTACCAAACAATAGAACGTGGTGTCATTGCACTATATTTTAGTCCATTTTATGTTTTTCAAATTACAAAACACTGCAGTCTGAGCATACCTTTTCTCCAATTGCAGCTCCTCTTCGGTATGCTAGGATGAAGAACAAGAGAAAATATCAGAAACTTCCAATGAACTTCAGCTATGCTTGTTTTAGGCAAAGAAGATAAAAGAAAGTCAAGTTAAAAAACAGGGTCAGAATTAGCATTAATAGCTTACCGGTTGTAATAACTGCAGCATCAGAAACAGCATCTTGCATAACCAGTTTTTGAATCCTGGTCCTATCGTTACGAGTATATAATGAGGTGTAATGGTTTATGCCAATAAAATCCAAAGATCCCACAAGAAACTTTGAGGTTGCAGAAGAAATCTCTGGTAATCTCTCACCTACAAGTTTCTTCATCCAGAGAGGGTATTTTCCAAAGAAAAGTGGATCAAGGAACCTGATTCACATTGGTGTTTCTGGAAGATGAGTTCTTAGTTGTTTTCACTGAGCTATAAATTTTTTTGATAATCATTGTGCCACACGAAAGTTTACCATCCAAGTGAGAAGTCCATAGCTCTTGATGCTGCATCTCTGTCTTCATCAAGTTCTGTTATTGGTTCATACCATATAACATCTAGTGCTATTCCTATTTGTCCTCCTTGTTCTTCCTGAATTCTCCATCCAATTAAAAAAATATATATATATTATTGACATTTTTAGCTTCTCTGTAGACTTTTAATGATAGTATTATCAAGTAAACCTGCATCCTGATATGTAAATCTCAATCATAGTTGGCAGGAAAGATTGCACTTATCAGTAATGATGATACTAATGATATTTATATCCTCTAATTTTAAAAAAACATTTATGTCTATTATATTTTCAATAAAAATAATATTTACATTTTTCTAATTTTTAAATAAACACTTATATCCTTATGTTTTAATACCAGATATCCACTTTTGTTATTTTAATTAAAAATGTCATATTAACTAAAGAAAATAAAAAATTATGAAAATTAAAAAGTTAAAATATAAAAATGTAGAAAGTAAGTTTCTTTTAAAGAAAATTATTTTTTATAAAAATATAAGTGAATGACATTTATTTAGAAAATGAAAAAGAGTGAATGACATTTACTAGTTAATGACATTTATTTAAGAGACATAAATAGAATTTATCCCAAATCCTTGAAATTCAAAACTTTCCCTTTAATCTTTGATTTCTCCTCATGTTCCAAAATATAATTTATTTGCATGGTTAGTGTCATTTACCAGTTATTAAAGTGAAAGTCGTGTAAAATTAAGGACTAAAATTAACCTAACTTACAATCTCAAGAATCTAAGAATAGTTTCAGTTTATTTTTTGAAAAAAAAATGTTTTTTTTTAAAATGACTAGTGTGAGAAGGGTCTGTTTGGTACCTTGAAATGTAGTTGGTAGCTTCTGTAGGCAGCAGCATGAGATAAGAGAATGTTATGAGCAACAATGTATGGCTCAGTGGATGATTTTCCCTTCTTGCATAGAAGATGACCTAACAAGGAACATCTTCCTGGTGCTTGAATTCCTAAATCATAACCATGGAGTGCAAAATTATGAGGCTCATTGAAGGTAATCCAGTGCTTAACTCTGTCTCCAAAAGCTTTGAAGCATGTATATGCATAATGCTCAAAATCTTTTCTGCAAGTAAGTACAAGTGAATATGAAATTCAACCATAATTTCAAAACATCAAAACAACTACAGGTATGAGTATACACTCTGAGAAAAGAAAAATAGAAACAAAGATTTTTCATCAACTGACATTAGTTTATGCAGTTCATTCACATTTTTTCATCAACCTAATTTCTTACATGATTTGTGTGCTTAACCATCCTTCATATTCATCTTCAAGCATTTGTGGAAGATCCCAGTGATNAGTGAATGACATTTATTTAGAAAATGAAAAAGAGTGAATGACATTTACTAGTTAATGACATTTATTTAAGAGACATAAATAGAATTTATCCCAAATCCTTGAAATTCAAAACTTTCCCTTTAATCTTTGATTTCTCCTCATGTTCCAAAATATAATTTATTTGCATGGTTAGTGTCATTTACCAGTTATTAAAGTGAAAGTCGTGTAAAATTAAGGACTAAAATTAACCTAACTTACAATCTCAAGAATCTAAGAATAGTTTCAGTTTATTTTTTGAAAAAAAAATGTTTTTTTTTAAAATGACTAGTGTGAGAAGGGTCTGTTTGGTACCTTGAAATGTAGTTGGTAGCTTCTGTAGGCAGCAGCATGAGATAAGAGAATGTTATGAGCAACAATGTATGGCTCAGTGGATGATTTTCCCTTCTTGCATAGAAGATGACCTAACAAGGAACATCTTCCTGGTGCTTGAATTCCTAAATCATAACCATGGAGTGCAAAATTATGAGGCTCATTGAAGGTAATCCAGTGCTTAACTCTGTCTCCAAAAGCTTTGAAGCATGTATATGCATAATGCTCAAAATCTTTTCTGCAAGTAAGTACAAGTGAATATGAAATTCAACCATAATTTCAAAACATCAAAACAACTACAGGTATGAGTATACACTCTGAGAAAAGAAAAATAGAAACAAAGATTTTTCATCAACTGACATTAGTTTATGCAGTTCATTCACATTTTTTCATCAACCTAATTTCTTACATGATTTGTGTGCTTAACCATCCTTCATATTCATCTTCAAGCATTTGTGGAAGATCCCAGTGATACAGTGTAACAAAAGGCTGAATTCCTGATTGAAAAAAAGAGCTAAAACTTCAATACTATTTTCTTTTATATGTTTGCAGATCAAATGCCTGAATAAATTCTTGAGTAACCTTTTTCAAGCAAAGCATCAATGAGGCTGTTGTAATATTTTATTCCTTCTCTATTGGGTTCCCCTGTTCCTTCTGTTCACAAATTTAGTTAGCTTTTGAATCAAACCACACAAAAACTAAATGGTTTTGAACAAAAAAAACTTACTTGGGAAAATTCTCGTCCATGATATGGAAAATCTGTAAGAATCCATTCCCAAATCCTTCATCAGGTTTACATCATTCTGTATGAAATGGAATTTGTGCAACCATCAATCAGTGTGAAATTTTCTTTCTCTTTTACTTTTGAGTATAGCTATTCGAAATTATTAAACAAAAGAAAAAACAACAGTTTAATTTTATTTCATACAGTCTCGATATAAAAAAATTACTAGCCAATAAAGGTCTATAATTTGTCAAAAATTGTTAATATGAATGTAAGGAAAGTTAATGTTCAAAAGTAAAATCTTGAGTTTAAAATTTATAAATAGAAAGAAAGTTCTTGTAAAGATTAATGATGGATAAAGAGGTGGTGAATAGTCTTCAGCGATAACATAATATAAACAAACAAAAGTATATAACTTCAGTATATACATGATATAATCAATGAGGGTATAGTTTTTATATTATCAATACATCGCTCAGCCTTCAGATCTCCTTTCACGGTACCTTCTCACCTTCCTCTTCTTCTCTCTCGCTCAAATCTCCCTTCTCACAGTCCTCTTCTTCTTCTCTCTGTTGCTTTTGCCACCCACGCCGCTTCGCCTCTCCGTCGCCACACTCCGTGCTCCGCCGTCGCCCATCTCCTTCAACACCTCCGACGGCCATGGTGCCTCCCACCCGCAAACCCCAAAACGTCACGCCTCCCCGCTGCAAACCCCAACCGTCACACCTGCACCCCGAACCCAACCCCACCACCAATCGCCACACAACCGGAGCAAATCTCATTCACCAGCGGGACGCGATTCTCAATCTAGTGTGTTCGTGGACCGCCTGGTGACACAAAGCGGTGGAGCAGAGTGACGCTTCCGCGATTCAATTGTGTTTTCTAATATTGACACGAATATACGTGTCAATGATTAATCATCTCTTACAATACTCTTCGACTTCCATTCCAGCGACTTAAAATGAACCTACAATTAGTAGGGCAGAGTGTTGTTTCATTTTAGAAATTGAAAATGATTAGCATATATATATATATTATATATATATATATATATATGATATATATAATATATATATATATATATATATATATAAATTTTAACGATTAAAATTTTCAATGGCTTGTCTCCTTTTGTACCACAATGTTGTCGTACTCTAAATTTTTGAGAAAGAAGATATTGTTCAACACCTAACAACTTATTTAATTCCACAAAGAGGAAGAACCAAAAAAATATAATTACAATAAGGAATGTAATGTAACAGGAAAAGAAATATAAAAGAAATTGGAGGTTTTACCGATGCATATAGAATGTGCATATAAAAAAGGTTGGAATGTCAAAAAAAACACCAGTTTTTTTAAAAAAAACTTTTTTTTGTTCCCAAACATACGAGAAATGGAACTTTTAGTACATAACATAAAGTGTGACACAAATGTTCAAATCATTATTCAACTTGTATAAAAATTGTGATCCACTAAGACCACTTAGTACAAAGAAGGTTTGAATAATTTATTTGCAATTTTTTACTCACATTTTATATCATTTGCGTGAAGAGAAAAGTGGATTAGAGAGAAAGAAGATGAACTAGACGACAAGAAAATGTATTAAGATAATTGTGGCCTAATTCAATGCTCTTGTTGAAATACTTACCCCACTCACCCGAATAACATAAAGATACTGAAGAAATGGAGAAGTATAAAAGGGGGAAAGGCAATTGAGTGTGGATTAAGAAAACAACATCAGTATAATGTCTTCCCGCAACGTAACCTGTTATTCAAGCACACTGCACCATTCCCCTCAGGTCAAAGTTTCCTCACAACATTATTTGAAGACACCTTTGAGATAGAAGAACATAGGAAGATCTCGTGCTTAATTGAACTACAGGCCAATCAGCCATCCAAATTCATCTGTGTCTGATTTCATGAGCATTGGTCCTCAGAGAAGTTGAATACCAAGAACAAAAAAATTGTGCAGAAAAAAATCACCCTGTTTATTTAGTATATTTCTTCTTTGCCACAACCTTCACCTTTACAACAAGATAGCTAACATTTTTTGTGTATATAAATATATAACCGAAGCATTTTAGACTGTAACCACCAAAGATTCATTATCCAACTAGAGAAAACTTTTCAACATCAACAACCCTCATGAGGCTTATTGTTTTTTCTCTAACTCTTGTCCTCGTAACAATTGAGAAAGCAGAATCAATAAGCAGAGCAGATTTTCCAAAAGGGTTTATATTTGGAACTGCTTCTTCAGCTCACCAGGTATGCATTTCAGTTTTTCTTCTGTTATTCAACTCACAAAAACTCAGACAGAGTTGTACAAACCTTTTTCATATCTATTTATCTGTTTTCCAAAGTTCTAGTTTCATCTGCATAATTCATGTTAAACCTTAATACAAACTTCTACTTCGAATTCTGATTGAAATGACAGTCTAACAGAGAAATTAAACGTTTTCTGTCACAGTTTGAGGGAGCAGCTGATGAAGGAAACAAAGGAGATAGCATATGGGATACTTTCTCAAGGATACCAGGTAGTGATGAAATTTCAAACTGCAGAAAATAAGAACACATCAAAATCAAAATCAATAAAGGTAAGATTTGAACTTGAAGATTCTGATTTTTCTTGTTTTGCATTATGATGATAGGGAGAATTGTGGATTTCAGTAATGCAGACATGGCAGTGGATCAATACCACAGATTTCAGGTGAACTAAGAAAAAACATTTGTTGACTTCAGCTTCACTCTACCCACATTAGTTGCTTCAATTTTTCTTTCTCTACCCCTTTTGGTGCATGTGGTCATTATCCATGTTGAAATGCCTAGGATTAGAATATTGTATAAATGGTAAACAATTCGAACGATCACCGCCATGTTTATGACGATGGACAACGTTTTACCAACCTCGCCGAATAGAAAATCAGCGTAAAAGTAACACATTACATAAAGTTCCAAAAGCGTGTAAAGTGTTGCAAAAGATCTTTTTACTATATATTAATACATTTATGAATATAGAACATACCACTGCACAGTTAATCACTTATTCTTTTATAAAAAGTTATCATGTTGATGCGACTTCTGTTTTTATTTGTTTTTCTTTAATCTGTTACA